AGTTTCTTTGTCTCCCCAGCATCAGAGCTTTTCCAGATCTCATCCTCCCGACAAGTCTGCTTCCACCTGCTTCCCTTTCCAATCCACCCAGCACACTTGATACTGCCACCAGCTTCCCCTAAACCTCTGCTGTGACAATCGACACATCTGATGTAGGTAGGCTTACTTCTCACTAAGTTGTGATTCCCGCCCCCACAAATATATTTTTATTGATTTTAGAGAGAGGAAGGGAGAGGGAAAGATAGAAACATTAATGATGAGAGAATCATTGATCGGCTGCCTCCTGTATGCCCCCCACTGGGGATGGATGTGCCCTGAAGGGAATTGAACTTTGACCTCCTGGTTCATGGGTCCACGCTCAACCACTGAGCAACACCAACCTGGCTGAGTTGTGATTTTTAAGAACCTGTTCAGGCCTGGCTGGTGTGGCTCAGGTGATTGGGGTTGTCCCACGCATCAGAAGGTCTCAGGTTCAATTCCCAGTCAGGGCACATGCCCAGGTTGCAGGTTTGTTCCTGGTTGGGTGAGTACGGGAGGCAGCTGATCGATGTTTCTCTCTCACATTGATGTTTTTTTCTCTCTTTCCAAAATTAATAAAACATTAAAAAAAACACCACCACCTTATTCGTTAGGGTGTCTGAGTCTTATATACACTCCTGTCTCAGGGATTAGCAGACTGGGAGAGACACGGGCAAAATTTGGGGTCCCACCCAAAACTCAACCTGAACAATCGGATTCTCTTTTCTCAGTTTCATATACAAGAGTTCTCTGAGAGAAATGTGTTTCAAAAATCTCGTTTGTTGCTTTCAAACAAATCTGATCTGATATACTTAAAACACTGCTTTCCCACCAATATTCATTATTTTCAAGTACCCAAGGAAGAGTTCACAAAAATGAATATATGCTGTCTCATCATCAGGCAAGCTCAACACATCTCACAGGACTGAAATAATGCAGTCTACTTAGGAATTGCAGTGGATTGACAGTTTATGTCCCCTCCAAATCCTCCACCCCGCGCCAAGGAGATGGTATGAGGAGGCAGGAACTTTGGGAGGTGATTAGGTCATGAGTGGACAGAGCTCCTTTGCCCTGCCACTATGTGAGGACAGTGAGAAGCTGGCCATCTATACACCAGGAAGCAGGCTCATCCGACATCGAATCATCTGGCACCAAGACCTTGGACTTCCCAGCCTCCAGACCATGAGAAATAAATTCTGTTGTTCATAAGACAGCTAGTCTATGGTACTGTTATAGTAGTCTGAAAAGACTAAGACAGGTATCTTCATGAAATTAAGCTAGAAATCAACACAAAGATAAATAGAAAATCCCCCAAACATTGGGAAGTAGTATACTTTCTAAAAACTTTATGACAAAAAAAGATACTACAATGACAAAATTTTAAATATTTTAATATGTTTTTATTGATTTTTTTTGAGAGAGAGAGGAAGGAAGGAGAGATAGAAACATCGATGAGAAACATCAACATCGATCAGCTGCCTCCTGCACACCCCCTGCTGGGGATCAGCCCAAAACCTGGGCATATGCCCTGACTGGGAATTGAACGGGTGACCTCCTGGTTCATGGGTCGATGCTCAACCACTGAGCCACACCATTTAATATTTTTACCTAAAAGAATAAAAATTTGGCTTATCAAAACTTGTGGAATGCAACTAAAGGTGTGCTTAGAGGGAAACTTACAGTCTTAAACACATATATTGGAAAAGAAGAAAAGCTAAAAATCAATTAAGCATCTATCTTAAAAAACCAGAAAAAAGAACAGCAAATAAAAAGTAGATGGAAGGGATGCCAAACCCGGCTTGGCTCAGTGGATAGAGCGTCGGCCTGCGGACTGAAGGGTCCCAGGTTCGATTCCGGTCAAGGGCATGTGCCTGGGTTGCGGGCACATCCTCAGTAGGAGATGTGCAGGAGGCAGCTGATCGATGTTTCTCTCTCATCGATGTTTCTAACTCTCTATCTCTCTCCCTTCCTCTCTGTAAAAAATCAATAAAATAAAATAAAAAAAATAAAAAAAAAAAAAGTAGATGGAAGGGAAAAAAATGAAATAGAAAACAAAAATTACATAGAAAAAAAAATCAATAAAGCCAAAAGTTGGTTCTTTGAAAGGATTAATACAATTGATAAACCCCTAGCAAGACCAGCAAGAAAAAGAAATAAAGCACAGTGACCAATATCAAATAATTGTAAAGGGGACATGAGCCACTTCACACTCATTAACTGAAAAGTTCAGGTGACCTGAGTGAATTCCTAGGGGGGAAAAAGCCTACCTAAACAGACACAAGAAACAGAAAATAAGAAAAATCCTATTTCCATGTAAGAAACGGAATCTGAAATTAAAGCCTTCTCACACACAAAAACAAACCCTACACCAGCTTCTTCCAAAAATCTAAGGGAAAAGAACACCAGTCTCACAGGAACTCTTCTGGGAACCCATGAGGAACACTCCCACCTTGTTTTATGAGACCAGCATAGCCCTGACCAAACCCAACAAAAAGAATGGACTGTAAAGCACGGAGCTCGAAGATACGCAGATATTTAGCGTCAGAGACATTCAGTGCAGAAAAGTGTTGGATGCTACAAATTCATCAGGATTCCACAGTTTCAATTATAATTTACTTGCAAGGCTACACTGTTTTTGCTTGACTCATTACAAGATACGTTTCTTGACTCTCAATTAGGTTTTCAATGAGGACGTAACAAAATAAGAATTTTGAGACTAGAAATTGTTCTTTTAAAAAAACTGAAATAAGTTCATTCCTAGTTAATTATAATAGAAGCATAAAATTCTATTGGGCAAGTAGATAACATACATGTATTGAAACATAATACTTCTCTGAATTTCATAGGCTTTCATATACTCATTTCTATTTAATTATAACTAAATCACCATCATTTATTGCCAAGTTGGAAACACTGTCAAATAAACACTTTCAATAAGACAATTCAAAAAAGTAAAATTACAGACCAATTTCTCATGAATGCAGATGAAATAATTCTTAAAAATATTAACAACAAAAACAGTGAAAGAAGAATACACTGAGGTCAGGTTGGGATTATTACAGAATTTCAAAAAAATTTTTTAAAGTTAAACCACCACATAAAAGAAAAATCACTTGATACAAACTGATGGTCACCAGATCGAGAAGGGGAGGCAGAGGGTAGAGGCTGGGTGAAAAGGGGGAAGGGATTAATATGTATGAATTGCCAGTTATAAAAATATCCATAAAGTATACATAGGGAATATGGTCAATAATATTGTGGTAACTATGCATAGTACCAAGTAGGTACTGGACTTATGGGGGAATATCACTCTGTAAGTTATATAAGTATCTAACCCAGCCGTGGGCAAACTACAGCCCGCGGGCTGGATCTGGCCCGTTTGAAATGAATAAAACTAAAAAAAAAAAGATCGTACCCTTTTATGTAATGATGTTTACTTTGAATTTATATTAGTTCACACAAACACTCCATCCATGCTTTTGTTCCGGCCCTCCGGTCCAGTTTAAGAACCCATTGTGGCCCTCGAGTCAAAAAGTTTGCCCACCCCTGATCTAACCACTAAGCTGTACACCTGAAACTAATAATATCAAATGTCAACTGTAATTGAAAAATTTTAAAGTAAAAAAAAGTTAACATAATAATTGAATTCATTATTTTAAAAATGCTTAGCAAACTAAAAATAGAGAATTTTCCAATTTTGATAAAAATATCTACAAAGAAGCTACATAAAATATCACTTGTAATGATAAAATACGGAATGCTTTTCTTCTGATATTGGAAGCGACATTAGGAAACCTATTCTCATCACTTCTACTTAACACTGTACTGGAGATCTTAGCCAGTACAATAAGGCAAGAAAAATAAAAATGGTATAGCACTGGGAAAGAAAAAAAATAAAGTGTCATTTGCAGACACATGTGTACGCATAGAAAATACAATAATTATTAGAAATATATTTAGCAAGTGAATATCCAAAAAGTTCTATCTCTATATACCAGTAATACACAACTGCATAATTTAATTCATAAAGATATAATTTTTAATGGCATCAAAAATATCAAATACCTATGAATAAATTAAACACATATTAAACATATACAAAAAAACTGTAAAATACTAAGACAAGTTAAAGAAGATCTAAATAAATGGTAGACTTTCTTGTGTTTGTGGCTTATAAGACCAATATTAAAAAGATGTCAGTACTCCCCACATTGGTCTACAGATTTAATGCAATCTCAATTAAAATCCCAGCACATTTTCTGGGGAGAGACTGCCAAGTACTGTAGATCCTAAAATTTATCTGAAAACACAAAGGGTCAAGATTAGCTAGGTAATCATGAATCAGAGCAAAGCTGGAGGACTTAAATTACCAGCTATCAAGACTGACTAAATCTACAGTAAGTTAGACAGTGTGGCATTTGTGCAAAGATAACCAAAAGATCAAGGGCACAGGGGAGTCCAGAAACAGACCCATACATTTACAGTGACTTGATTTATGACAGAGACGACACTGCAGTGCACTAGGGAAGGATGGTCTTCTTAATAAATTACGTGGTGTCATTTGGATATCTATATATTTCAGGTGGGGGAAGGATCTTGGCCCCTACCTCACACCATAAACAAAAATCAATTTCAGATGGATTATAGATCTAAATGTGACAGATAAAACAAGAAAGCTTTCACAGGAAAACACCTTCATGAACTTCATGATATCGTGCAATGAACCAAGAGCATCAATTGGGCTACATTAAAATGAAAACTTCTTATCAAAAGATACCGCTGAGAGAGTGAAGAGGCAAACACAAGAACGTAAAAGAAAATCTGCCATACATATATGCACTCAACACCCACCAGACAGCGAGAATGAAAGAACTGATGAGACCACGTATTAGAGAACCACTGACTGCTCACACACTGCAGATGGTACAAACTGGTACCAACACCACTCGGGCAGTGTCTACTGAGGCTGATCAAATGACACCACTACTTGTCACTCCTTTGAACACACCTAATAGGAATGTATACATATCTGCACCCAAAAAACAAGCAAGGATATTCAGGGAAGCATTTGCAAAAACTAGAAACAACCCAGATACCCACAAACAGTAGAAAGAATGTTATGATAGCCCTGGCTGGTGTGGCTCAGTTGGTTAAAGCAGTATCCCATGCATTGGAAGGTCGTGCCTAACAATCGATGTATCTCTCTCACATCAATGTTTCTCTCTCTCCCTTCCTCCCTCTCTAAAATCAATTTTAAAAATAAATAAGTTATGGTATATTCATTTATATATTGGGTTACTAGACAGCAGATGAGAATAAACAAAGCTACATAAGATAACATGGATGGATCTGGCATACAATGTTGAATGAAAGAATCAAGAAACAAAATATACATATTACTTTACTGCAATTATATAAAGTCAAGAACATGCCAAAGCAATCATCACCAAAAGTCAAAAGCAGGCAGGCTGGTGTGGCTCAGTGGTTGAACATCGACCTATGAACCAGGAGGTAACAGTTCGATTGCTGGTGAGACCATATGCCCTGGTTGCGGGCTCGATCCCGTGTGGGTTGTGCAGGAGGCAGCAGATCAATGACTCTCTCTCATCATTGATGTTTCCATCTCTCTCCCTTCCTCTCTGAAATCAATAAAAATATTAAAAAAAAAAAAAAAGTCAAGACCGTCATTTTCTACTGATACTTGTTTTATATATTGGGATTCTGAATACAAGTTTTCTTGAAGAAAGAGTTCCTGTGGTTTAAAAAAAAATTGAAAACCACTGGAATAAATAAAATTAAAAATCCTTTCACAAAATTTGGGGTGGGGGGAGGCGCATAGTTAGCTCTGGGGGACAATTACTGGGAGCAGGTAAGAGGGGCTTCTGGGAAGCTTGGAAATGTTGTTTTTTGAGCTAGTGGTGGTTACAAGACTGTGTTTACCTTGTGAAGAACTCAGAGATGTACACTTATGATTTGTGAATTTTCCTGGTGTATGTTATATTCAAATTTTGAAGTATATACTTGCCTACATAATGTGCCAGGAGAACAAATGTACTTATCTGATTCATATGCCTCCTACCTGGTTACACTGCTAACCACCAAACAGGAGATAAATGCCAAGAAAGGGAAGCGTCCAAAACACGTTTACTTGACGGTTCCTGTGTTTCTGAAATGCTGGCCCCGGGTGCTTAGGTGGTGAGTGACTGCGCGACACCATCTCTACTTAATGAGGCATTTCCAGGTTACCACCCTGCACAGTAGCTAGAAACAAATCATTGAGCAACTGTCTCACCCCACTGGTGCGGCAACCCCCCGTACGAGACTGTACTGCACAAAACTCCGTCCCTTCCCTGCTGTGTCCTTGTGCTCTTTTAAAAAAACTAGCTCACCAAATATGTATTTGACATACACTTCAGTATATGTACCAACCTCAAATTACATTAAAACAAATACAATCACACATACACAAAAATACAACTGAAAAGATTTACAAATACACTAAAATCACAATCACACATACAATCACACATACACAAAAATACAACTGAAAAGATTTACAAATACACTAAAATCTGGCAAGACATAATATGACCAATCCTTTTAAGCTTCTGGTAATAAAATCTGACCCAAATAAAATTGGCAATTTAGAGGATTGGAATGAGAAAAAACTTAATGATTCTCTAATCCAAAAAAAAGGAAATATTATAGCACTAACATTAAATTATTGCTGCTAAAAAAGAAATCCAAATGTTGGACTTATCAATCTTTCAGGACAGCTGACTAAAGCCAAGAAACGCATTAAGGCCAGTAATTATTCATTCACTAATTTAGCGCTGCAGACCCACCACGAAAGCATCAATGTGTGCCTATTCAGGGCTGCCTGAGAGCACCATCAAGGCAGCTATTATGAATAAGTAAAACGGCACCTAGACAGCTCGTAAACACCCAAGTCACTTTCCTCTCTCCCACCAGGCTTTGCCTTTTACCTTACATTCCAGTTGCCATTCTCTCCCTTCACCTATCATTAAATCCTCATTCAGCTCCATAATCAACGGGTTTGAAACACTGGTCCAAACGTAACATACTTAAATGAACAACTGCAGCTTTAGAATTCTCATCTGCCAAGGAGAAAGTTCCAAAGGAATCAATGTCCAGTCTTCTATTTCCTGGAACAAATTTCATTTACAACACGCAGGTGTCCTGATAAAGGCGGATTGTACAAGTATTTTCCTGTGAAACCAATCCTATTTGTCCATTCAATTTCATCAGTTAATTAGAAACACATGACACAATCCATGGGCAATACCCATTTAACAAGAAACGGCTGAAGACGAGTGATCGAAAGGCATCCCATAGCTTGACTGTTTCAAGGTCCTTTTTCAAAAACTTGGGAGCACCACCCCAAATCCAGTTCCTCCTGCTGCCCCGAAGAAAGGAACAAGAGTAACGAGGTGTTTTCACATGACTTCAGAAGGGCAGAACCTTTTTTCCTGAGAACTTTAATCCCCAGGACCTGGCTCTATAGCTCTTACAAATACCAGAACCCCATCAACTCACAAATGGTCATGCAAAGGACTCATCTATAAATACCAACACCATCAAGATGACCTCCCAGAAATGACACCACTTAGCAGACACCAATCTGTAAAGCTGCAGGAGAGGGAAGAGCATCCGTACCTGCGGAAGTGCAGTGTTGAGCTGCCTCTGCAAGGAATCTCTTTCATGGCCAACCTCGTGTAATTTCCCCTGGGTTAACGCCAGTGTCTCTTGGGTCTCTCTCAGCGTCTCAAGAAGGCGGTCCTTCTCCTCCAGCATGGACACCATCAACTGCTCAAAATGCGAATCTGCATCTGGCTGCGAAGGCGAGCCGGACCCATGGCTCCCACTTCCTCCTGGGGGGCCTTCTGCTTCACTGATGGTTGGCATCACCTCGCACATCATCTTGAAAAGAAAAGGCCCAGACTACTGTCAGCAAGTGCAAAGTCAGGGCTCTCACAAAGCTGCAAGTTTATAGCTACCTGTCGTCAATAAATGAAAGGCCCACAGCCTCAGTCTCCCATCTGACTGTTAGGCTCTGAACATGACAGACTGGGAAAACACACACATGCAAACCACAAGATGAAGACATTAACAGACAATGATCCATAAAGGACACAAAGAGCAAACCCTTGGTATTTTGTTTGCAAAGCTGTATTTTCTAGATGTTGAAAACACGTGTGCTTCTGTAACCTTTTTTTTTTTTCTTTCCTATTTCCCGGTAGGGGAAAGAAAGTTGAAACACACGCCACCCAACCAGTCTTCAGGAAAAGCACCGGAGGAGCACACAGACAAGTACAAATCCACCAGGCATCTTACAGGAATGTGTGCCGTCAGCTCCTGGGAAGGACTGACGGCTCACTGAATTCTTGGGCTGGATTTGGGGAGCGCTAAAAGGCCTGGATTCCTTAGGGGCTGGGAGACATGTTTTCCAATGGCTGCAATGGCTGGTCCGACAATCTAACTTACGTAAGTTACCAGACCAAAAAAAAAAAAAAAATTCCACAATGGAAATATAGCAGGTCGATACAGCCGTGACGGCTAGGAAAGAAAAGTGAAAGGTGAGATTATGAGAGGCTATTAAGTGTCTCAAATATAACTCCGGGGCCAGGGAAAGGAGGGCCGGTGCCCGAGGCTGCCGCGGTATTCCCGGCTCGGCAGACCCCCGAGCGGGAGATGCCCAAGACCCACGCACAGGATGGTCACCACGACCTCTCCACGCTCACGCTCGCACCAGGTGCTGCAGATCCCCGGACCCCGGGGTGCTGAGAACCGTTTGCAACGGGAGCTCAGCCTGAGTCGGGGTTCTCGCGGC